AGACATTAGCAAATCAATATACCCGCTCTTCTTCGAAGTGGGGCATAATAAAATAACTAAGGCCGGTAACGAATTAGGAAATTGATTTTCGAATTAAGTTTTGCATGTTTGAATATATTCGAATATTCGTTTTTACATTGAGAAGACACCACCTATGATGCTATCATTTGTATCTGGACTGCTAGACACACCGAACTTCAAAACATTTACACCATGACTCTGTTGATTTGTTCAGATAATTATTAAAAATACTTACTTTATCCCAAGCATTCTCAATCAACACTTAAGGTTTACAGAATAGAACGCGCTAACATAAAGAAAACAACTTCCCAAACGGGTGAATATTTTGCTAGATGCCTGAACAGGAAGAACTGTTTCCAAAGCGTGAAACAGTTACTTCTTAGTAAAATCTTAAAACTTTACTTAAATTCACTTTCAGATTATTTTAATTGCAGACATTCTAAAAGAAAATGACTCGGTAGGATTTAAGATGTATCTTTTCTGCATTTAATGGGTTGAAAACTGATGCATCGGGCATTTTTCCTTAGCTACGTAAAAAAGACCATAAAACTTCCCGATCTGGAAAGATTTTGACGTTTGTTGCCTGATCGGGAAGCCTTGAAGGGGAATCCCCTTGTTTAGCATCAGGTAAGACAAAACTGGTGTAAAGGGAGGCGATTTGCTTAATAATACATGTAAAACCAATAGTATTCTTGAGCAAACTAGTGTATGTTGTATATGGAACAATCTCTTGACAAAATTGTTAATAGACATGTGTCATTTTTCTTATCAATTGCAGGTATTCTGTATGTTGTATTTCTCTTATTCTTTATGTTACTTGTGTATAAGTTTTAAAACAATAAGATAACTTGATTTACATCCGGCTGGGACCGGTTTCAGGCGTTTCTATTTTCTCTGTGCATAGATAGGTCTAATGTTCCACTTTTTCCATTGGTACTGTACAAGCGAAAACAACAACAACAAAAAACAAGAATTAGTGGGGTCCGGACTCTGAGATTACATTCTCTTTTTTGTATGCCAAAAACGAGACGGACACACCCTGTGGTAACAACGAAATTGTAAAACAGCAGCGATGACTAACTCACAAAAACAACAACAACAACATCTTTTTTTCATAAAGTTTACGTGATAAAAATAACCAGATATTGGCGGAAATATGCCACTATTACCTATTGTTTCCTGATTAAGTTTGGTACATGCCAGAAGTATTTTCATTCTCCTTGTAGCCTTGAAACATTTGGATATTGTTAAGCATTAACCACCATCTCTTACTACTAAATGGACCATAGGATTACTTTAATGACGGAATATTTTGATCTTCGTTAAAATCGTAAAACAATCATATTTATTTTTGGAGCATTTATAAAAAGTGAAGGTAAATTACATTTTTTAAAACTTTCAAATTTGTACAGTTTAAAAATTTGATAAGACTTATTACCGCATTACGTATGTTTCTGTTCAAGTCATATTACAACATGAAAACTTTTGTTTTCAAATTGGTATCGTTCGTTCGTTCGTTCGTTCGTTCGTTCGTTTATTTATTTATTTATTTATTTATTTATTTATTTTTATTATTTCGTTTCATTTCGTTTCATTTTATTCATTATTTAATTTATTATCTTATGTAATATTTATTTATCATATTATTTATTTATTTTATCTATTCATTTTCTTTAATGATAATACTTGAAATCATCATAAATTGTGAACAATGATGTTATCCATTCTTACATTTGAAATAGTACATAATTATACAGTTAATCTTTGTCCACTCGAACGGATATCTCGAATATATCTGTTTGTTCGAACTCACCATATACTCTCGAATATATCTGTTTGTTCGAACTCACCATATACTCTCGAATATATCTGTTTGCTCGAACTCACCATATACTCTATCACACCGTAAGGATAATTAGATAATTATACACTGTACTAACATAAAAACGTTTTGGAAGTTTTCTTTTTTTTTTCTTTTTTTTTCTCCTCCAGTTCGACAAAACACGCATTAGAAAGTGAATTTACATGTGACAATTTTGTAACAAAATATGAACTGTGTCCTGCTCAAATAAAAATAACATAATTACTGCTCACACCATTATCATTCGTGGAGTACTATTTTTTGTGGTTTTCTTGAGTACGTCCGTTTATAAATTTCAAACCCAACGAAATTTCATTTCGTCGTCTGTAAAATCATTGCATTATATGCATTTCTTTTGAAAAAATAGGCAATCCACGAATTTAAGAAGCCACGAAAATGTCTTTTGTGACAAAACCACGAAACCTCATGCCCATGAAATCAAATGAATTCACAGTATACGCTCGTACTATGGGGAAAAAAACAACATTTTTTGTGACTTAAAGACTTATGAGTCATTGATTGAATCAGCGTTATTATGACCAATAACCGAGTACAGAAATACGTTGTAAAGTCATGATTTCCGGAAATGTACTAACAAACTAAGTATCTTTAAAAGGAAACAAATTAAATGTTGTTTCGGTTTTACTAAAAACTGCACTGTAACACACGCAAAAAAGTTTAGTATCTATCATTAGAGTAATACGGACAGTACAGGACGGGTAATTATGTATTTATTGATTTTAATTTTGTTCAAAATTTTCTTGTGAAGAAATCATTGGAATAATTTCATTGTTTATGGTCAACAGGATAATGTTGAAAAATTTGTAATCCCGCACCCCCCCCTCCTCCTCCAGAGGGTGTTGAATGTGTGGGGGAGTGGGGTATGGGGAATGAACCACCTGTATACATTACAGCACCGTTTGCTCATTGCGATCATTTAATGGTTTTAAAAATAGCTAAAGATGAATAAAAATAGCATACAGTTGTGGGGGTTAGTTGGGTTTGGGTTGGATTGGATGTGCGGATTGAATCGGCGGGAGTTTTATTCATTTTTTTACTGTTGATTGTCCAACGGAGAGGGGGCAACTTTCCAGTATTTTTCCTTATATTTGATTAGATTAACAACAATACTGTTAAAAAGGTTAATAAAACTGTAGAATGCTTGGTTTTCAGTCAACGGAGAAATATTTCTTACATACATGTATTCATGTATTTATAAAATGCAGCTTTAATGTAAATGTTTCTTAGTGTGGGGTAGTGCTTCAAGTGACTTTTACATAATAAAAAAAAACATATTTTATATGAACATGATTAAAATGTACTTTTGGGTATTTGAAGCATATCTCATTTAACGTTTTCTCAACTGAATGTGTATTGTAAGTGTCCTCATATAGTACATTGTTAATAACTGTACTTGTTGACACTGTAAATAATTAGCATTGTCGCCACTTGCTATAGTACTGCCGGCTCTATAATGTTGGTAGCTCAGTTTTTGTATTTTGTTTTTTAAATCCCGTAAACGTTGACTGGACTTATCCAAATGGACTAATCTAAATTTGCAAAGAAGAGAAACTCAATTACATAGATTCAGTAGGTTAATAGTTAACAATACCCTCCTTTACGTTATATTTCGTAAATATCCTAAAATATAAATAGCATTAAGAGATATTGATAACAAATGGAGATAAATTTCGTAATGATATATCTTTCACAAACTTTTCTATTTATTCAGTTTTAAGGGAAATAAAGTTAAAGAGAGAAACCATTCAGTTAACATAGTTACACAGACTTGGTAGGATATCACGAGCTGCATAGTAAACGAACTTTTCGCAGAATCCTCTAAATCAGAAACATTTGAAATACTTTGCGCAGAGTCAAAAACTTTTCGCAGATTCCTTATCATCAGAAACATTAAAAAAACTTTTCGCAGAATCCTTATAATCAGATACATATAAAATACTTTTCGCAGAATTAAAAACTTTTCGCAGAATCATTTAATCAGAAACATTAAAAAAAAACTTTTCGCACAATCCTTATAATACAGAAACATAACATTGAAAATACTTTGCATAATCTGAAATATTAAAAAAAAACTATTAAAACATGTTTATTAAAATATTATATAAAACAATTTTAAAGATATACTATGCTCATCCAGATATTTAATGAAATCTTTGAAATTCTTACTGAATATGTCTAATTTTAATATATGAATGAATCAATATTTATGGGCGGGGGTAGTCGAAATATCAACGCGATCAGAGCTACGCCCTGCGCGTTGAACACAATAAAGACCAATTTAGTGGTGGACGTTCCGACTCAAAATTGAGTCGGAAGAAAAATTCTTAAAAAACCAATAAAACAACAAAATTGGAATGAAAGAATTAGTTACCTTTGAAGATATATTCCTTAAGAAGTAATTTCTACACACTTTATTATATGACATAGGTTCATAAGACAATAATCCTATTTAAACTACACCCTGTAACACATCGATACAATTTCCCTATTCGCCATTGAATGCGTGACGTCATAGCAGTAAAGTGCACAATGCGGAATCATGTACGCGGGTTTTTACGACGATAATTTTATAGTGATTTTTAACTGCTATATATCTTATGCCCTTAATTGACATAGTTATCAAAATTACGATAAATATTCAATATTGCAGTTGTAGTTCAGTCAGTTGGGTTATATTTATTTTACGTGAAACCCTTATTTTTTCTGCTCTTCATAGTTTGTAGGCCTATGATTTCGTGTCTTTTTTTCTAATATTGATTTTAAGCCGACGAATGTATTTATAAATAGAAGAGATTTTCTTTTTTTTCCATTTTCTTTTCATTAGTACGGATCAATATTTTATCTACATTTTGGCCATATTACGGGTATTTAATTATTACGTATAAATAATAAATTATTAAATTTACCTGTTTAAAACTTTAAAAATTGATTGTATAAGTATTTTAACCGAAAAAGAGTTGTTTTCACTAAAAACAACTTTGTTGTCATTGTTTAGCAGTACCACTTTCCAAAATTACTAACATATTTGAAAAACATAAGTCATTGATTATTTAGACAGCTGTAGATTTACACTAAAGAAACAAAACGAATAAGAATATCGTAGACCAACCTTTTTATTTGTGACATTAACATATAAGACATTCATGTCAGCAAAGATGTATCTTTAATTTTCTCTTTTCAAAAAGTCTTTGACAATATCTGAGTTACCAATACAACTACAGAGTTTTTTACAATTAGAGCAGCACGAGCATGTTAAGCATATGCAAATTTCACATGTTAAATCAGGACAAACAACTCTTGTAGTAAGAGATTCTGTCATTGCTGCCGTTCTCAACGTGTCTAACACACTTTGTCGCACACAACTTTCAGATCTGACAACACTTTTCATTTTTTCGGAAGTTATAGTCTTCATTAAAGATCTAGGGAATGGATACATGATTGCCAATGACGGTCTTCCATCACGCCCAGCCCGACCAACTTCCTGCCAGTACATCAGCGTATTTTTTGGTGCTCCCCAATGTATGATAATCTCGACATCATTGATGCCTACACCCATGCCAAAGGCGACAGTACATACAAGTATTCTGATCTGACTGTCACTCTTCTTAAATTCATTCAGAATCTCTTCCTTTTTTCTTTCATCTGTACTTGAATGGTACATTTCTACAATCCTACATTCATAATCACTGTCGAGATTATCGGTGAGCCATGACCAAATGTCGATATACAGCTGAGTATGATCTACAAAAATATTAATTTATGCATATAAATGAAGAATGAGTGGGATGGAGGATATGATGATGATAATAATGATAATGTGATGATTGCAGAGGGGCATAGCTATAAAATTAACTGATTTTGAACTGACGTTGGTAAGATTACAAGTACAATTCAGGATAAAATTAAAAGACTTTCGGATTATTATCATTGTCATTTACAAGGTAATGGTTTGAAAATTATGTTCTTGTATTTGAAACCTGTCAAAGTTATATAGAGTTATCAAATGCCCGATGTATATGAAGATATAAAGATGGTTAATAATGCTTAGAACTTTATATTTATATTAATTATCTGTGTAGCGAACTATTGCAAAACAAAGAAGATTGTGATGATGGCATCTATGAAATATAAATGACCAGTAGCTATTATTCTTATAATTACCAATATATACACAAAAATGAAGCTTACCTGCAAAACACTATCACCTTCTTCATGCTTTCTCTGGAAACAGCTGCTTCTTTTAACCATTTCAGTTCCAACTCACAGTCTGGAGTTGACGAGGTTTGTATTGCAAGGAATATGTTGGGTCTGGAATACAATTCATATCAATTAGTATCAATCAGGATGCGTATTGATATATATTCTTTTGCAAATCATTTTAAACAATGACGTTTAGCTACAAATCATTGCGTTTTGGTTATCTTTTTAGTGTCACATCGACCAATTTTAAAGATATTGTCTCGTTTTCAAGTATAAATGGACGAGATCTAGAATATGTTCTTTTTTATTTGCTTGTAGGACGGTGTTAATTTTTAATGTATTTACCTATCTGGCAGTTTAGCAACGCAGACAGCAGTGTCGTCTATCATCAAGTACTGGCAGATATCCTTCTGAACCTGCTCTGTAGCAGTTGCCGTTAGGGCTAGAAGAGGAGCGTCCACCAGGCTCCTTACTATGGCTATCTGTCGATATTCTGGCCTAAAGCTTTCGCCCCTAAATATAAAAGACTGTGAAAATGAGCATTTTAAAAATTACGAACATTTATAAACGGTAATGAGTAGTTATATACGTACTACAAAATTTTTGCGACTCTCATATAAATATACATAATCATTCTTACCATTCAGAGATACAGTGTGCCTCGTCACAAGCAAGCAAAGAAAGTCGTTTGTTAAACGTCTTCGACATGAGAAGTTTTCGAACTGCGGATGTCTGTAGTGCTTCTGGTGTGCAGAATACGATCGATACGGGTTTCTTCTCGACGTCTAATAAAAGAATTGCAAAAAATAAATAAATAATAATAATAATAACTAATGTATTGTCATAAGTGAGCGTCTCAATGATTTTAAAACACGGATGCATTTAATATTTAACAAGGGTGTTCTTGCGGTTTCCGTGATTCAAATAAATTACAATGCTTATTTATTATTTTATACCGATTCTTACCTAGCATTGCCCCTACGTCTGAAGGCGACAAAATCGTCGACGAAATTCCAATATTAGAAAGATGCTGTTGTTGGTCTTGCATAAGGCTGACAAGTGGTGAAACGACCATTGCAGTGTGTTGAATCGAAGGATCTCTCTGCAACAGATATGACTTGCGTAATAAGTTATATTACGTATTGAAATTATTTTTTTTACTAATATGCAATAAAATTAAAAGAAACTTGGTGTTATCACGTTTTGTAATGGTGTATAAGAATATGATGATTTAAGTGTTCCAAACACTTATAATTATCATTGGAATAAAACACAATTGCATTTACATTACATATTGAATAATTGTACCTGATCAAAAAGAAGAGGCGGAACAACATAACACATGCTTTTTCCATATCCAGTAGGCAGCAAAACTGATGCATCCTTTTTATCCATAACGGCTTGAATAACGCGCTTTTGTTCATCTTTTAAATCAAAATTAAAAGGATATATTGCTTTTAAAGACTTGAAATGCTCATCAATATCCATTCTTTGTAATTATAACGATTAAATAACAAGTGTCACACTGTCGGAACCTGTTAACGCTTCTAAATTATGTGCAAATGAAATGATTGCGTAACAAGTATCTCTAGGTTACCGATGAAAGATAAGCGGCACATCAAAGGGCATCACTCCGCGTGGAAGCTTCAGCAGACACAGCTAGGTTAAATCAGTTTTTGGGAGAAATATATAAGGCTAGCGACGTATTTTATTTCATTATGCATTAGTTTATACTAGATATAATAAATTATGATTCACCACCAACTGATGTGTGTTTCTGAAGAAGATTAAAATATTGAGCTCAATATTTTACAAGATCAAGAATGAAGTGTGTAAATTGTGAGAAAGAATTCGAACAAAAAACTTCAGGATATAAAAGAGTTCAGTTATTATCTGAAAAACGTGAAGAAAAGGAGGTAGAGTTGGCTTTAGACTTAACAACTGTGACACCAAGACTTTATAAACGCGATGAACGGTTTCTCTGTGCTGATTGTAATAAATTTTTAAAATCAGCTAGCACAGGGCAACAAGCTAGCAGTTTATGACAAAGATGAAGCTATTGTCATGTAAGCTTGATCGAGCTCGTAGAGTCTCTTCTTAAACAGGGCTCAGTCCTTTGAATACGGGGCATGATCCAGAATTACCCGATATTTCTTCACAATTTTTATAATTATACAATTATTGCAATTCAACTTTTACCATTGTGAAGCTAAACATTTTATCTTATAAATTTGTTATTTAGATCTTTCATTATAACTGAACATAACTTCAAAGTTCTCTTTTTGTAACCATAGTAACGTCTATGCGGCGCAGGTCAAAATTTATAACATTAAATTGTTTTTATATTCACACTATTTGATGAAAACTTTGTGCCGTTTTAAGTCTATACTGTATATTCGTCAAATTTTATAAAACAGAAAATATTTATCTAAAGCTCAGTTTTTTTCACTAATGTTGTAGGCCATTTTCAATAATAAAACATACATCTATGTAAATTTCTCTTTATAAGTAATATGTAACCTATAACCTGTATGTTCAAAGTCACATTTATGAAGCATTCTGTAAAACAACATTATCCATACTTTTGAATACTATTATCTATGTCTCTGGTTTAATTGCTATAAACTTTGTTCACTGATTTTTCAAGTTTTTTCCCTAAATACTGTATGATATTGCAATAAAGTTTGTTTACTGTGTCTTCAATTATTTTCTTTTAAAAAAAAAAACACTAAAATAAATTTCTCAAAATTTAGTAGCATGTTACCGCATAACGGTAAAGCCACTAAATTTTCGAAGTACACCTTACCAGTAGTGCAAGTCTTCCTCGGGGAGGTAGGGAAAGGTAAACTTTCAAAACAAAAAGAGTAAATATTGAGTTTTGACGAATTGCGGTGCCTTTTCTTGATTGTTTTTTCGCTAAATAATGTTAAATGATATATTTTATGTTTATTAACGTATTATTACCAAGGAATTTGTATATTTGTGTAAAAGCGTTTTCCACCCTATAATAGACCTTCAATGTTTTTAACCTTTGGGATTTTGACCATGTCAAAAATTATCTAAAAATCCCGTAGGTTAAAATATTTTGACTAGGGCGGGGGATACAGCATTTCCTATTACAGGTCAAATAAAGTTGGTCTTTTTTTTCTTTTTTTTAAAAACTGCCAGTTTTTTTTATTGAAACTATATATTCATATTATTACCGCCTATAGCGTGTAGAATTTCTAAATATAACATACCTACTTTGTGTTAAGTCAGAACATTTTATTTTATATTTACAAAGAGACTGTGTAGCAATTAACATCAAATTTGAGCATAGTATATCTTTAAGACATGAAACCAAATTTTTAAGTTATTATTGCAGTTTTTTGCAATATTTGAATATTGAGATTGTGTCTTACCTATCTTAAAGATCCTGTAACACATTATTTTTATGGTTTTATATACAAATTATGATGCTCAAATTAAGATTTATCGATATTGTAAGTTTCAAAAAACATTATTTATAAAGATATTACCGAATTTAATATTTCATGTAAATAAAGGGAGGTAATTAGAATTTAGTTTTCTATAAATTCTAAGTCAATTTTTCCAATAAGAAATGAATGCATATAATTTAATGATTACCTTAAATATGTACAAATATTTGCAATACATATTTTACATATTCTTCCATGTTTGAAAATTGACAAATTTGCATAATTACATACATATATAATTCAATGAAGAGTGGTATGCAATCTAAATTACAAAACATACCGAATCTTTAATTACGCTCCGCTGAGGTCCAAAAGCCTAATAAATATATCATTTGAAACTCTTACATGAAAATATGAAACACATGCAGATGATAATTTAAAAAATGACCGGAATTTAATCTTTCATTGACGTGATTCTTAGCCTGGTTTGAGTTTAAAGTATTCGAATGCTGTTCATTTTTAATTTTGGGAAACGCGGAGAGAGCAAATGATTAGACATTTTGCACAGAAGTTATGTTATTGTCAAAAACCTACTATTATGTGAAGTCCCTTTAAAGCATAGGCCATATTAAAGCTGCACGCCTCCAGATAAGCAAAACTATTTATTATAAAATAAAAGCTGAGAAAAATGTATTGAGATCTTAAGAAAAGTAAAAAGATTAAAAATTCTAGGTTACGTGCGATTAATGACCTATTTTTCAGCATGTATAGCTATATTTTTACTGCGTTACTAACGCAGTTAGGGCAATCTTTGTATATTTTAACCTCATTTTTGTAGCTTACGTGGGATGTAAGTGCCATTGATAATGTGTACATTGCATTCTTTTAGTAACTTTACAATATTACACATTCAAATACATTTCCAAATTTTCATGAAAATTAGCATGAATCTGGAGGCGTGCTGCTTTAAATCTAGCGTTTTGGTGATGAGTTTTTATCTTTATTAATTCACACAGTTAAAAAAAATATAAAAAATAATTTCTTCGTACCGGATAAATCAATTAGGAAAGTGAAGTGTTTCTTAGAAAAACATCTTAAACGAGGTCCTTCCGAATTTTGTGTACTATTTGATATTTTGATTTGGTAAATTAATTGACGTTTAAATAACTGCTGTTTACTCAAATCGGGCATTTAATACAAATTCTGTTGTGTTTTTTCTTCATAGTTTTACGTTAAACGTTTTAAGTGCCCAAGTTCATTTATGTAAGAAATTCAAATTTAATATTTTTTGGACCTCAATGGACCTCCTTTAAATACACTTTACCATTATTGACCTTCTCAGTTGGGCGAATGTTGCCGTAATTAAAAGTATTAAAATATGACCTCGCCCTTTTAATGGCATGGACCTTTTTATTTACGAATATATACGTGATATTTTCTTTGTTCGGATTTATTTAATTCGAAAAAGTAAATGTGTACTTATTTATACGAGGGTGGGCCAATAAATTATGCAATGCGACATGGTCAATCAATTAAACAAAAGAGAAAATACATTTATTTTACAATTTTCTACTTCAACCGTTCGAAACAATCTCCTTCTACAGAAATACAGACGTTTAATCCAGTGCTTCAACACAGTCCTCTTTGAACCTTTCAATTACTGAAAAATGGCCAGCAGATTCCAATTCTACTTTTGTTGCGACGACCTGCAAAATGTTTTTGTTGAGTCTAGAAAAGAGGAAAACGTCACAGGGTGTCACAAGGGCAGCTACTCGTTTCTCTCTCGAAAATAAATTACAGTAGCTCATTTGACTGCAGGATCGTTGTCATACAGAACATACAGGTCTGTCATACCAATCGAAGAACGAACTTTATTGAAGTGGTTTTTTTCCTCCATTTTTCTTCACACGGCATGTCTATAATACTTGGATGTGGCAGAACGGCCTCTAGAAACATGGCTTTGGACAACAGTTCTAAGGATATTGAAAACAACTAACGTTCATAGCTTTTTTTGAACTTGTCAATCGTTTGCCAATGCATGGTCAACGAACAGTTTTGGTGGCTCAAATCTTATTGTTACACTTGCGGACTGGCGTAAAATAGTGAAACCAGTTAACTCGGCCCTTCTTCTGATCAGGTGTAAGCAAATGTGTATCTATCTGGCAGTTTTAACTTTCAAGTGATTCTTCAGAATCGTTAGTTGATCCGTTTGAATATTCCTAGTTAAAGTATTGCATCTTTTGTCATTGATAAGCTTGACTTGAGCGTTTTCTACCAGACTAACAGGTATTTTCATTGACTCGTGTCCATTAGTGTCCCCCCTCGAAAAAGTTAATAAGTTTTCATTTTGTCCAAAATATTACAAATAATCAATAATTTTTTATAGCAGATTTTATTTTTGCCCTAAATTTTAGACTTTTAATTGCTATTTTTATGTAAAGTTTCCCTGAATGTACAATAGGATAAAATACCTTTAAAACCCCGTTACAAACGCAAAAAAAAAATTTACAGGCTTTTAAAAAGAATTTAAACACAAAACAAAAATCGATTAATTTAACAAAATAACCTTTCTGCAACATTTTCCCCACCCTCATAATAAGATGGTTAAAAATTACTAAGTCCTTGTACTATTATTTTTGATTAAAAAAACTTTTTTACAAGTCTTTAAGTGTCCTCAAAAAATTTTAAAAGCCAGAATGACTTTTTAAAAGAAATAAAAAAAAAAAAAGGGATGGTGGATTTTA